CTCTGTATGGGTTCGATAGATTTGAATGATTTTGCAACCACCATAAAAAATTAGGAAATAAATATAAATTATGCTTTTTTCATTCTAGAATGAACACAAATTATAACACAAAAACATAAATGTTTAAACTAAATAGCTTAAATCTCATAACATTATACATTTATATATATTTATTATTTTTATTATATTGACCTTTCAGCCGTGCATGGCTAACACTACAAAAGTTACAATGATGCAGCTCAGGTGCACTCATGCTACCATATCAAATAACATAAAACTGACCTTTGGTCTGTACAAAGTAACTTGTCTTGGCTTTGTTTTAGTAGACTAGTATTTTGTAAAATACAGTCACGTTTCAATTATTATACATTATATATGTATATAGATTATTGCTATTTATAAATAAGTTCTTAAACTTATTTTTTCTTAAAACATAGAACAGTAACTAAAGAAGTAAAACAAACTATTATCTCTTCTAGTTACAACCTTTGTATTTGGTTGCTGTTTGACATAGGTTGCTAAGCCTTTAAAAATTTTGCACGTGGAGGATATGAAACAAAATATTTTTTTTAGGTGATATATACATTTGAATAACTAAAAAATCATAAATTAGTACCATAGAATTTCACTATAATTTATCAAGATTAGTAACTAAGATGTATTTTAGTAAAAATAAATATGAAATTTCGAGCAGACTAAAGACACACCCTACCTTGTTGAAATATTGGTCCAAAAAAAAGAAATGGTGCCAAGCCCATTAAAAATAGTTGAGAAAGCCACTAGGGAACATTCTGAGCTTCTGATTGATTATTCATGTCATATATAGAAATAAGTGTATATAAAGGAGCATTTCCAAAAATGGAAAGAGGTGAGCAGGGTGCCACTGTATTTGACTTATTATATAAGCAATATTTTAGCAAATTGAAAAGATAAGAGGCTCTTATTTTATATTTTAGCTTGTCGATATTGATAATTCGAATTTCTAATTCGTTCGAAACTATAGACTTAGTATTTTGACTTCACAAACATCTAATTTGAATCAGTGCTCCATTAAACATACCACATGACACACAAAAATCAATGTTTGTCTGTGTTTTTTATATTTGCTTTTAAATTAAGAAATTGAGTAATATATAGCACTAAAATTTTAATTATAACCTACAGTTTGATACCAAACTTATTGACATAAATTCATGAAATAGTAGTTCAATAAACTTTTGAATGCGAGTCAACAAACAAGACGTACATGGACCTTTCACCTGTGACCCATCTTGAAAGGGTTAATGGCTGTTTGTTCAATGGATGGGGAAAATCTA